GAATAGTTATTTGGGGATTAAAGTGGTTATGGAAAATGAGCAGAGATGTTGTTCTGAACGTGTGGCCGGAGGGGAAATCCTGCCAAGAAGGATCCTTCCTCCCGGGGAAGAAGGTGGAGATGGGCACTAGGCTTGGGCTGAGACATGCAGGGTCTCTCCGCTTGGTCCTGCCTCCGAGGATGCTGCGCTGGCTTTAACCACCTCCTCCTGCCGGCTCAGTGCCTGCATGAATGCGCCCTGTAGGAGCCAGCACAGGTCAGGAAAAGCCAGCGCTGCCCTGGGGCCAATAAACCTGCTGGATGACCTGTGGATGTGCGAGCACGGCATTCCCACGCACATCCCGCAGCGCTGATGGTTGAGGGAGTGTACCTGGAGACTCCCTGATTAATCTCACCTAACAGAGGATGAACCGTGTGTCATAACCTGGCTGCATTTCATGTTTAGAGAGAGATTCAAGCTCTTTGAATAGCCCTCAGCTCGTTCCCAGGGGAGCCAAGCCTGCTGGCAGCCGGCATTCCGGGTGGAGCCTGGGAGTTATCCCCACTAAAGCCGCTGTGCTCCAGCCCTGGATGCAGCGACCACACCGCAGCCCCAGCAGAGCTGCCACAACCAGCTACTGCTGCTCTTAATTGCACAACAGACCCCATTTGCAAACGTCCCCAGAATGGAAGAAACACACTTAAATAGCTTTATGTAATTTCAAACTAATACATGCCTGGATTAAAGCCCTCCTCCGAAGGGAGGGGTCACGCTGTGCTAGCCCTGCTTTCTACCCTGAGGCTACGGCAGCGCCCTGATATCCAAACAAAGTCCTCCCACCAGCTGTTCCCAAGCTGGGGACAGCCCGGGCTACATTAGGAAGAGGATGAAGACATTCTGTCGCTATCTTGCTCTTCAGATCACACCTAACTTTGCAGGGCCTCTTCTGTCAGTCTCAGCAACCTCTTGGGCAGATGAGGAATGCTCTCTTCCCACAAGGTAAAACTGCTGTATCCACCCCGAGGACACCTTTCTAGCATGGCTCTTGCCATGCCCTGCACTGACAGCCCCTCCTCTGATGTGCCAAAAATGACACACCCCTGGTGTGTTTTTGAAGGCTTTGATTCCCAGTCTCACCTCCCATTTGCTCCTGAAGGGAAGCTCTCTGGTTAGCCAGTGCTGCCCACCGTGGAGCTGGGTGTTCAGACAAGCATTCCATGCTTCCCCCTGGGATGTGACAAACATACACGTACAGACCAAGCCTCTTTTCCACATCCAGACTCTTGTATGTCCATCTCCATGCTCAGCACCACCCCACACCCTAATAATTAGGATGCCTAAATGAGAACAGAGCAGATTTAATTGAGACTGATTTTTCCATGTGAGGCAAGGTGCCCACAGCCTAGCGGTCCTGCCAGAGTGGGAAAACTGGAAGAGCCAAGGAATACTTTGACCATGGTGTTACCTAAGTTGTGGAAACCTGTTTTGTTCCTGAAGGAGTAGATTAGGAGTGTGGGGAATATCAAGTTTAAAGCAGCTCAACACTAATTGGCAACTTCTAGTCACTGTCCATGTGATCTGTGAAAATCCCAGAGTTAAATGAAAACAGATTGAAAAGGCAAACACGGTCATTATTTCTGCAGGGAAAGTGCTTTATCCTGGGGATACGGCTTGGCAAACTGGGAGCTTAGGAAACACAGGAAGGAGTACATCTGCTGCAGTAATTTTCCTTTTCACCTGGCTCCTGCCGTGCTCCACAGCGGCACTGCCGAGCAGTGCGATGGAAATACGCTCCTGCACCTGTGCTCCCCTTTGTGCCCACTGGTAGTCTGGAAAACACTAACTTCTGAGAGTGTGCATTCCCTATTACCAGCATCTGATGGCTTTGGCTAAGAGCTGGAGAGGTGGTGAATCAGTATTCAAGTTTGTTCATGTTGTTAATAAGGGAAGAATAACTCTGATGTTCTTGGGATCGTCTTGTCTCCATGCAAAAAGATAGACCAACTTCCCTGCATGGATCTGGGGCACAGAAATGTTCCTTCTAGTTTGTTGCAAAACAGGTTTTCAGCAGATGCAAGGAAATCCTTATGCTTCAAATAGTATCTTCACTTTCTGCGTTGTATAATGCTCCTATGAACTGCTCCACATTTATTCCAGACCAAATGCTTTTGGACATACAGATCTTCACATACATCTTCCGGCATAAATCTACTCATGGCTTAAAACTTGTGTTCAGTAGCTGATTGTCCAGTGGTCTTACCCTTAAAGAACAAATATTATTTATAAATTACAGTGCACTTTTTCAATCTCAGCCACTTGTTCCTGGTTTAGCTAGCACTGATTGACACAGAAAATATTAACGATAACAAAAACATTGTCTCTGGGTTGGGAAATCCCAGAACCGCAAACAGCTAGAGAACATTCAGAGGAAATAAATCATTGAAAATTTACCCTGTTGTACTTTTCTATTCACATCTGATATTGGTCCTTGCTAATGACAGATTGCAGGGCTGGATGAATTTCTGGTGTGTCCTGAAATGGCTGTTCTTAAATCCATCATCCCATCCTGGCAAAGAGGAAAGACTTACCCTTTTTAGAAAATAGGCTGCATGTAAATGAGCCAGCAGTGTGAGCCAAAAAGCACTTTAGTATCAGTTTAGGCACAGATTTTGCTACCTTTCCTCAGGTGAAGGGAACCACACTCTTCAAATACTACTGTGGAAGTGGATTGTAACTGCTGACATCTTGACCCCATGTAAATAAGAATGTCCCTGAATAATTCTGCTCATTAATTTCACATGTTAAAAAAAAGTAATTAGCAAAAGCATTTCAAAACCAACTCTATCCAGTGCTCTTGTGGGAAATCTCAGCACAAGCAGAGTGAATTAACCACGGTGTTACCAAGGCCAACATTGCAACAGAGTCGGAGCAAATGTGCTTCTGCCTCGCTCTGGGTCTGCAGTGAACAGCTCTGGCAGCCAAATGAGGACTCTTAATTATGCACCCTCTAATCATCTCAAGATTTGCTTTAGCAGTGAAGTTTTTAGACATGGCAAAGAGTGAGCTGCATTTTGAAGACTTCAGAGATGGCGTGAACCTTTCCTCCCTGCTTTCTTCTCATGCAACTAACCTTGTACAACACCCGTCCAGGTGCTTTTGCTCCTGCTCCTGTAGGGAGAAGTTCAGCTGGAAGGGAAAGTATGCAACTTGGTCCTACCCAGCTTCTGAAAAACTTCTCTGCTTTGAGCACTGTGCCTGTAGAAGGATCTTGTCTCTCCACACCGTGAATACCATCAAATGACAGCCTTCAGAAGCAGGCATCCCCATTAATTCGTCAGCAGGCTGACAGCTAAGCTAGGCACAGGGGAGATGTGAAATGTTAGCACAGACAGAAACATTCAGACTGCTTTATCTCCCCTTCAATTCAGTGTTACATTAGCAGAAAACTGGCACCAGGACACAAAGGCTTGGATGCCTGCTCAGTATTGCCTCTCACAAAGCTCTCACCTGTCAACAAGGTTCCTGGATAAGCCTGGATTTTTTTCTTTTTCTTTTCTTTTTTTTTTTTTTGGAAGCTCTGATTGCAGTAGGAAAAATGAGCACAACTCCAGAGAGAGCTTGACAGGCTCTCTCCCTGTGCCACGCTGCTCAGCACGGGCCAGACACAGCGAGGTGGTCCCTGGTCCCCAGCCCAACCACGCAGGAATCTGCTGGCAGAGCAGCCTCCAGAGTGGAGCTGACTCCTCTCCAACAGCTCCAGCAGCCTCCAGAGTAGAGCTGACTCCTCTCCCCCAGCTCCAGCAGCCAGCCAGGAGCTGGAGCTGGCAGCACCCAGCTGCACGGACAGCCTCCAGCAAGCTGCACTGCAAATGCACAAAAAGCAACTAAAAAAAGCAACAGAAAAAAAAAAAAAAAAAAAAAAGGCAGGAGATGAGTTAATGCCAGACAACAGGTTATTCAAGGCAGCAGAATTGCCTAGTGCTGGGAGAGGCCCAGGGGCTTTTCCTGATGTTGTTTTGAGCCTGCTCAGTGACTGACAGAGCAAATGAATCCTCATCTCAGTATTTCTCCTGAGTTTTCTGTGAACTGCTTTGGGATTTACTGGCGAATAGTAACACCTTTTGTGAGAGCAGTATGAAAAAACAGCAACAGAACTATCACACTGTTATTAAAGCTGGAGCAAGACTGGAATGTGTCGTTCTTGGGGAAAACAAAGTGGTGAACTGCATAGCCAGCATAATGGGAAATGACAGAATAAATCATAATAAAGGTCCACTCTGTCTTTGTCATTTATAGATAAAGTTTGGAGTTTTAAAGTCTCTCTATGAGATTGTCTAATGTTCGCCAAGACATAACAAACACACAATAGCTCTGCTCACAGCCTTAACTCTAAGAGGAGAGAATTTTATTACTTATCATAATATTTCAAAAAAACTTCTTCCCTAGGAGATGTAGCCTTAAAAGTTGTTACATTAAAAAAGTTATCGGTGAAAATAAAAAACCATAATCAACAACCAGACCCCAAAGCCTTATTCTTTCCCTGCAACCAGCAAATTACATTTTGATTCTAAAGATCAATCTGTTTATATTGCCTACATACACATTTGGAGACTTCTTTATCAAAATTATTTGCCTACTAGATTTCTCAGTCCCATACCCTGTTTCTGTGACTCTTTGTAGCACAAAATGTTTAGGATTTAGATCAAGGCTAAACTCATTGCTGTCTCTCCAAGGGCCTCCAAGTGAAAAGCTTGAGTTTGCTGTGCCAACCAATCTCAGCTTTCTTGTGGAAAATACATGTAATACACAAGCCAAATTGCAGCAGGGATCTCACAGAAGAGGTGAAGCATTATTTAATGTGATTGTGCATATTCCATAGAATAAGAGATTTAAAACAGGAGTTGAATAATTTTATTTAAATATTATTACAGTGGACATCTGAAGAAAATGTCTGTCTCTGGGACATAAGAGAACTTATTCGAAGATTAATTCAGTGAAAATTCTTTGCTTCAGTGAAAAATAGCCACTGAATTAACGCATCTCATACTTTGTTATTTCAGACTGAGAACTTAACAAAAGAGGGTCAATAACTGCTGTGAGAAACAACAGAAATCCACAGAAACAAGTCAGCAGACAATGACAATTTTGCCATTCACCTAATTTTAGGAATCAGTTGAGCCATATGTACCAGCTGCTGGGATCTGTGTGAACCAGAATACCTGGGGGGTAAATCTGAAGCATCATTTGCAGAAGGCACAGCCAAACTCCTCCTGCACACTCAAAAACCCTCTGCAGAGAAATCATGGTGGCTCTACCATGTGAAGTGAGACAAGATCACAGAGCCAAAGGGTATTTTTGCAAAGACCAGAAAGTCTCTCCCCTGCCTTTTCTAATAACACATTCAAGAAAAATGAGAAGCCACTCAAAGTAAGAGAGCTTTTGCTCAAGCTGAAAATACTACAGAGAAAAACTCATCGAGGCAATAATTAAAACCCATTTGAGCTTGTTAAGAACTTACAGCAACAGAAATAGTTAATTTATTGGCCCTTGTGGTATTTACAGTATATCATGGTCACTTTAAACAGAAGGACATGCAGCAAATCTTCTCCTGCATATGCTCAAAGCCACAGGAATTTATGCCAGGGTCTGAGGTTGCCTAACCTGGGCTGCTTACTGGACACACACATCACGCTTCATTTAGTACTACATGAAAGTGAATCAAGTTTAATAACCTTTTCTTGAAATGTCCCAGGAAATGAGGTAGAAAAATTAAAACAGTTAGATGTCTGCTGAAAAGCAAATATATTTATTATGCACTTTAATATACACAGGGATTTTCGCTTAATATAATACAAGGAATAAAATAAAAATTTTACAATGTGAAATTCATTCAATGTACATTAAAGGCTATTTACAACCCACTCCAGGAAAAAACAGTCTATCTGCAAACCAAGTTAACTGAGGAGTTCAGATGGGGAATATTAAGCATAACAGACATTTGCATAGCAGAATAACTGAGGAGGGAAAACACCTTTTTAAAGAAATGGTAATGTTTTCAATACTGATCACAGAGAAGACAAAAATGCATCAATTGTGCCTCTTTATCTCTTAATGCATTTCTCTCCAGATGAGTTTTTCCACATGCACCCAGTATTGATATCCATGTCCACAAAACAGTCTTTTTCCCCAGCTCTCCCATCAAGAATTTTGGATGTCTTGTGGAGATGACCTTGGAAGGACCAGCAAAATGGGATGAAGAGAAACAGGATTCCTGTTTTATTCAGGTTTTTTGGGTGGTGAGAAATGCTGCCCTGGCAGAAGGAGCTGTGCTGAGTCACAGCTGCACCTCTCTGCTCACCTCCACTCCATTTACAGATTGGAAAGGGCAGGGCAGAGGGAACAATGGGGGAACAGCAACTTTGCTTGGCACACAAACCCCTCAGAAATGGTGATGCTAAAAATCACACACAACAGCAATGTGGAATTACACAGACCATCTGAGAAAATAAATGATTTAAAACAATTCCTGCCCCATTCCAAAGGGATATTCAAATGTGGCAGAATTGTCATTCTGAAAACATTTTTGACAGGTCTACTTTCTGCTGATTTGGAGAGAGGGTTTCCCCAGTGACTGTTTCAAATGTAAATACTATTCACACAAAACCCACCAGACTATCTGTAAGTTGTGGCCCCTTGTGAAATTGGCCATATTTTTACGTCCTCTGTCCACAAGGTGCAACTAATAACAACACAATAAAATTAAATAAATATAATCCCAATGACAGTCAAGGTCAGTAGAAAAAATGTTGGCATTCAGGGATCCCTTTCCACAGAACAAAACATACATCTAATCACTAAGGAAAGTCGTATTCTTGCACAGCATTGCAAATGTACTACACTTGAGGTTTGGAACAAGTCTGCTGAGAACATTTTGGTACTTTCTCTTTTCTAAACCACTAACCCTCTTAAGGCCATTCTGCCAGACTCCTGTTATGTTTATTTTATAATTGTCCCACAGGGACAAGAAATTCAATACATGAAACATTCAGAATAATCCATATTGCCGTGTGTCAGCTTCTACCATCTAATTTTACTATATGCTGAATGCCTGACTATAAAAGATTCTTCTTTTACATTTAGGAAAGAGCAAATAAGAATGGAGGTATAAGATTAAAAAAAAAAAAAAAGTATTCTGATGACAGTTGATCATAATAGCCAGACATGGAGCCCTTCAGTGCCTCAGAATATGCACTACATCTACATCCAGAGGCCATTCATCAAAGTTTAAGGATCTAATTAATCATCTATGAAAAATAACCTCAGCTCTCCATCATCTTATTTCTGGAATGATCAGAATTAGAGTACGAAAAAGATGAAACCCAAGCCTTTAGAAGAAACACTTGCATACAAAAACAGGCTTATTTTCTAAAGAGCAAGGCTGTGTAATGGTGAATAGTAGAATATAGCTTGCATTTGTAGGAGAAAAGAACCCACTTTTTTCATTTTATCACTTGCGGAACTGTGCAAGTAAGATGTGCACATTCAAAGGGAAAACTCACACTGCTCACTTTCACAACAATGACTTTGACTTTGCTCTCTTCCACACAAGTAAAATACTTCTGCTGTAAGAGCAGGAAACCAGCTTTCCACTATCCATGGATAGGCTCTCCTGACTGCTGATTCACCGTGCTACAGGTACAGAGACACGCTGGCTCTACCTAATCCCCATGAAGCAGTAACCACATTCATACAAGTTTGTGCTTTAAGGAGTTATTGTCTCAGGACAGGGCTAACTCAGCCACCTCTGCACTCCCCAGGCAACGCTGTCGCTGTGCTTTTCCACTGCACTCCTGCTGGGTATTCTCTCAGCCTCGCTCACAAAGGGTCTGTATTTTCCATGGTTTGCTTTACTGACATTCCCAAAAATAGTCCTTTACCTTGGAAAAGAGAAAGAGCTGTTTCTAATGTATAGAGATATACAAGAAAGCAGGATCAGACCTTTTAGCACCTCAGACATGCCCATATTAGTTACCTCATCACCGTAGCAATAACAGAGCCTATTGAAGACCAAGTGTCCAAAATTTGCCTATTGCTTTCAGTGGTCCCAATCTGCCATCCGGATTTGGTGCTGTAGTACCAGAGAGTAGATTTTTGCCTCTTAAAAATCCCAAAGACACTGCAGGTGGCTGCAGTCCGACTTCTTTGCCACCACTGAACAGCAATTACACAGACAGAACGCACAAGTACAGTATTTATAAAATACTGTTACAAGACTTGTAATTCTGGAGGGAACCTTTTGAAGTACACGGGGAACTGACAATACATGACAACAATGCAAATGTGACAAACTCGTTGCTTTTTTTTCTTTAGCCACAGAAAAATAAATACAAAATGCACTGCCTTTTCCATAACACAGTTCACTGTGGCACATGCACCTCTACCAAGCGATCTGGAATAGGAAATCAGAATTCCTGGCTCTTACCATTTTCAGCTGTGGTCAGGGAAATACAGCATATATCTTTCTGCAATTAAAAAAAGTGCTCATTCTGTGTATTAAATACAAAGTACACAAAATAAAATTTCGAAGCAGAGAGGGTTATACTGAGAAGGCAGCCTGAAAATGTAGGCACGTTACAGTAATTAAGGTAACTGAACTGTAGGAATCACATTCTTGAATTTCTAGGTGGACTAAACAAGCACTGTTTGCTTTCATCCCAGCCAGCTGATAAATCATCGGGAGCAGAAGCGCTTCTGTTCACAGCATCATGGAATTGGCCTGGAAGTATAAAATAAAAACACTGAGCTTTGAAACAATCTGTAACACAAACAACATTGTCAGAAATGAAGCTGTATCATCCCTAACTGAAGTCAAAAGCACACAGCAACAACCTGATGAGGAAAAGTGTTTCCTGCCCAGCCCCAGTCCTGTGATTGTTTCCCTGTGATCTGCCATCCCAAGACCCTACAACAGGAGAGCTTCCTGGATATGCTGGGAAGCAGCAGCCAGGGAAGGAAAGCCATTCCTGTGGTGCTCCCATGGAGTATTTCTGATGTGATTCCCCACAGGTAACTCTTTTATCCACCAGTCAGGGCAATTACCCTTTTTTCTGCTTGAGATTTGGCAAAAGAGGAGGTAAATTACAGCCTGTGGTAAGCAATTCATAATCCACAGAGAACTGTTCTAAACTCCCATCTTTAGAGTGATGCTCAGGGAAGTGTTAAGAGAAAAGCAAAAGGAATCATTTGTTTATCCACACCTCATTTTTTAGCCATTTGCAAAACCAAAAACTTCACTGAGAGAAACCCTGAATTTTCAGTAACACACCATTTGTTCCAGACAAAGCAAAGCCAAATTTAAGTATTATATGTGGAATGTTCAGATTTCTTTATATGCTGTTTATATTTTAAAATCAAGGAAGATGGAAAAATTCACCAAAACCAGTCTTTTGATGACAGGTCGGGTCAGATGAACACATTCTACATCAGAACCATGCAATGGATTTACAATAAAGTATAACATGAAAGCAAGCGATGAACATCAGGTGGAGGCATGTAAGAGTTAGGAAATACAATCCTTAATTACATGTTTTAAAGTTTTACAGAAGCAGGAAAAAAATTACAAATAAATTCTAATCCTGTTTGGGCATGATGTACTACTGTGGGAATCTGAAGTCCTTGTAACTTTTATGAAGATTTAAGGATGTTGCTCTCCCAGCTGATGATTCCTCTCTACGCCTGTTCCTGCTGCCCTGCCCCACAGCTCATCTGACCCTTTGGTAAAATTTGCATTTCACAAATGTGCAGGCTTTAGTGCAGATGTTTCTGAAACACTGTATTGTTTCAAACATTTTAAGTGAACCAAAATGCCAGCCCAACAGGATCCTGACAATATTCTATAGCTTTATAATTCTCCATGGACCTCAGCGGTGTCTACAGATATATTCCACTAAAATCAATTGCCAGGACATTTTGGGAAAACGCCTATTTATGTGTTTTTGACAGCTGAAAACCTTCCATGTGTGGATTCTGCACCCCCTTCAACTGTCCTAGAAACACGCTGTCTCTGATGACCTGCAGCAGAACTGAGTCAGAGCTGGCAAGAACATTTTTGTTCTAAGGAGCAGCAGCCTGAGCTGTCCAAAATGCTGCATTCACACACAAAAAAATGTTTTCAAAAATAAGTGAGCAAGCGATAAGAGGTGGGCATACCTCTTATTCTGCTTCTCTGAAATTCCAATAAAAAACATATTAACACATTCCAAACACCCTAAAAAAATATACACCTCAAAAGGAAGAGGGAGAAAAATAGAACTATTTTAGCTGACTCACTGACAATTCATGTCTGAAAAAGAGACTTATAATTACTTTTTCAGCTTAAAATTCAGTACTGGAGAGGAGGTTAGATATCTAAATGACTGATTAAGAAGAACAGAATGGTCAGAAAAGTAGTACCATAACATAGATTATAATCTTGCCGTGAGAAAAGCCACCTCTTTTATGGGAGGATTACCTTTACAGAAATTTAAAATCAAAGCTTTAGAATAGTATTTCATACTTATAAGCATATTCTCCTCCTTGAAATCCACATTCAGAAAAGTGGTTGCCCATAACTTTTAGGAACCTTCAGAAAGAAGGTTCTGAAGAGCATTTTCATAAATAATGAAATAAAGACTGTATCTGAAAATATAATGAACTGAAATTCTCATCTGTCCTTATATTGGAAAATCAAATTCCAAATCAAAGTCACCTGAAACTCACTTATCAAAGACAGTGGGGAACAATTTGAGCAACTGAATTCAACAGACAACATGACAGTGATCCAATTCCTCTATGGCTGGTGCTTTTAAATAACACCGAAGGAAATACTTGACAGGTTAAGATTTTAACATCCATCACACAAGCAGTTATGATGGTAAATGATAATAAAATGTAATTTTAGCACATTTTAAATGAAATGCAGGCATTTGGTTCCTTTGTGACTGGGTAAGTTACCTTTTACAATGGTGTTTCCTTCTTGTAGTTGAAGCTTGGGTCGCTACCTTCAATCTGAAGTTTTAAGGCTTGCTTAAGGCTGAGTTCTGTCTCTGCGGGGGGATAGCCTTCCAACACATCCTGATGCCCTCTGTCCTGCACTGTTCGTGGGACAGAAACCCTGCCGAGAAAAACCTGATTGCTCTGAAGATGGTAATTTGGATTTGTCATAATGCCATTTCTCTTCTTCTGCTCCCCACTCTGTTGGTGAATCAGGAACTGCTGCTGAGATCGACCAACTTCTTGCTGAGCTGGAGGGACCAAAATTTTGCACTGTGGTTCTGGTGGCATTGATTTCAGTGGCATGCTTGTGCCAGATTTGGCAATAGGTACTCGTTTATCAAACTGAGTCATTTCATACTCTAGCACTTTGGGTTGGGAGGAACTACTCTGCTTTATTTTTTTTCCAGCTGACCCAGACTTGCTGGAGTTGTCTGTTTTGCCCCCTTTGTTCACTTTAGTTGATTTCAAGCTAGGTTTCACTTGGCTCCATTCAAACTCGCTACTGGGTGAATTATGATTTTGACTCAGGGAATGAGTTGTGGAAGAAGGGGAAACAATGGACTGCCTGCTTCTGCTGCGTGGCAGGGAATGCTGCTGGATTTGCTCCGTGAATGACAGGCTGTGGAAACTATCGATGGGCACCGTCTGAGCGGTGGCCGTCGAGGACGTGGTGCGGAGAGAAGAATTTTTGGAGCTTTTCAGGGAATTATTTGATAAAGATGACTTCTGACGGTCAACCGTAGAATCGGGAGACTCCGAAGGAGAACTGAAGGCGTGTGCAGGCCCATTGGACAATCCTCGCATTCCAGGCTGCATGTCTCCTCCAGTACTCCCTGAACTGTTGGACTTCATGGTTAAGGACTGCATTTTAGAGGAGACTGATTGTAAGGGCTTCTGCTCCATTGTGTGGACTGGAGACGGAGTACAACCATTCAGAGTCGATGCACCATATTTTTCCAGTAATTTGATAATCTGGGAGTGTCCATTTTTGGCTGCAACCCGCATAGCAGTGCGCCCAAATTGGTCAGCGTGATTGGGATCAGCACCATGCTCCAGTAATATCTGGACAACGTCAATGTGCCCCTCTTGGGCTGCAATGCAGAGTCCAGTAGCACCTTGATTACAAGTGTGGTCAACCAGAGCACCATGCTCAATGAGAAGCTGCACGACCTTCACGTGGCCTTGCCACGCAGCAGACTGCAAAGCGGATCTCTTCTCGTTATCTGCAGCGTTCACATCAGCGTGGTACGTTATCAGCACCTGCACCATCTCCAAATGGCCCTGCCAGCAGGAAACATGGAGTGCTGTTCTTCCTTCAGCATCGCTTGCTTCGACATTTGCACCATTTTCTAAAAAATACTCAGCCATTGTAAGCTGGTTTTCTAATGCTAGGATATAAAGTGTCGGCCGGCCATCAGCATCTTTGTAGTTCACATCTGCTCCATGGCTGAGCAGTAGCTCTACTATATCTCTGTGACCTTCTAAGGCAGCAACCCGGAGAGCATTTCTCCCATCGTAGCCTCTCTGATCAATGTTGGATTTATTTTCCAGTAACATCTGCACACAATCATAGTGACCTTCCTGCGCAGCTAATATGAAAGGTATCCGTCCATCATTATCAATTTCATTTGTTCTAGCACCTTGTTCTATAAGAGCTTCACAGATCAACCTGTGACCTTCAAAAGCTGCCATGTGCAAAGGTGTCCAGCCTGCATCATCTCTGTGATTTTCATCTAGCCCCCTGTCCAGCAGAGTCCGTACTACTTCAACATTGCCCTGCGCAGATGCTATGCTCAGGACCGTTCTACCTTCACTGTCAATGCTGTCAACAGCTGCACCCCAAAACAAGAGAGTATTCACCACTGAGGCGTGGCCCATGGAGGCTGCTGCCAGAAGCGGCGTCCGGCCGTTGTTGTCCGTGTGATCCACATCAGCTCCTCCTTCCAGGAGCAGATCAACCACATCCACGTGTCCTTCGTAGGCGGCCACCAGCAGCGGCGTCATGCCATCCTTGTCACAGTGGTCGACTTCAGCACCGCGGTCGATGAGGAGGCTGACCACCGAGGCGTGGCCCTTACTGGCGGGCACGCAGAGCGCAGCCACAGACAGCGCCGTCCTCCCATCCACGTCCTCGTGGTTCACCTCCGCACCATGGTCCAGCAGGTGCTCCACGATCTCTTTGTGCCCCATGTAGGCAGCCGCGATCAGAGCCGTCCTGCCCTCGTTGTCGGCTTTATTAACTTCAGCCCCGTGCTGGAGCAGATTCAGCACGATATCTTCGTGCCCTCCCCAGGCCGCCGCTCTCAGCGCCGTCCGGCTGTCGGCGTCGGCGCAGTCCACTTTGACCCCGGCGTACAGCAGCGCGGACACCACCTCCGTGTGCCCTCCCCACGCCGCCGAGCGCAGCGCCGTCCAGCCGTCGTGGTCCGTGTGGTTGACGTTGGCCCCACAGCCGATGAGGCAGTTGACCACCTTGGTGTGGCCCTGCCGAGAAGCCAAGGTCAGCGCTGTTTGCCCGTGGGCGTCTTCGATCTCCAGATCCGCTCCCCTCGACACCAGCAGGTTGACCACGTCGAGGTTGCCACTGTAGGCTGCGTTGGCCAGCAGCGTTCTCCCGTTGGAATCACACTGGTTTACGGATGCCCCGTTGTCCAGCAAGGTGCGGATGGAGTCCTCCCTCTCCAGGGCCTGCCGGACGATGCAAGACGTGCGGTCGTCTTCGCTGTTGACGTGGGCACCAGCCTTCACCAGCAGCTGTAACACCTCTTGCTCTTTAGGAATTAAGGTTGACAGGGAGTCTTTGACGGGTGTGCCATTCCATATCATCCACAAAGCCAGCTCTGAAGTCTCCAACTGTAAATTAGAATTAATGAGATGCAATGCAAACTCTTGAGCTTCTAACGGCGTTAAATCCTTTGCCCGGCAGGTGTAACTCATCGCCAGCATTCTGTGTCCCTCTGCGGCGTTACACAGGTATTTCTGTGTACAGTGCTTTACATCCAGCAACCACTCCGCAAAACTGTAATGGAACAAGATTTTTGTATTTCCAAGGCCATCGATAAGGACTTTGGACAGGACATCCAATTTGCGCTGAAAGTCTTCCATCGTCAGCGTCATGTTTTTGGTCCACACCGCCTGATACAATTCCGTGGTGGTCAAGGGCCTGCAGGCTGCAAGAATTACATTAAGGATGGGCTGGACCTTTGCAAACTGTTTTCTCACAAAAAGTCTCTGACAGAGCCAAAGGTAGAGGCCATTTAATGTTCCTGGAATATCACGGATCTCCCGTAACATGATAAAATTCTCCACAACTCCATCTAGGACACGTTCCAGATACAAAAAGCAGCCGCTGCTTTTGATGTGAAGCTGATTCAGCATTTCTGCCGTTTCTTTTGTGAGGTGCTGTCTCAGGGCTTCTTCCTGATCCAAACGATGCAGAATATACTGCTGCACATCTTTCACAATGTAAGCTTTTCGGAGGTCGTCCAGACTTATTTTTCGAAAACCTGTTGAGAGGAGAGAAAATTGTAATTATTTCTGATCCAGTTCTGCTTAACTCAGTGTTGAAAGAAGAGTAAATAAAAGCCAAGACATTTTTGGGTGGGGAACACCCACAAGAAAATATTTTCCCCTCTAAACACAGTGAACATAAATTAATTATAATAGCAGAAAACTTTGATAATTAGATACACTGTTATCATCATCTATTATAGGAAAAAATAGGTGCTATTAACAAAAATAATATTGAAAATCACTCTGAATTAGGCATTGTGTGTCTGCTTTGGACAACACTAAACACCTAAGCAAAACCATCAAAACTGCAACCGAAATAAGATTATTAAGTATTATTATATTATTAAAGGAACAATCCCTTCTCCAGTGTGGTTAACAATGGAATTCTAAGTAATTTTCAGCTATTTAGATTAAGACAATTATTATGTTTATTTAATTACAGAAGAGGGTGTTCACACCTGCTGCATATGCATGATCAAATGTATATAAATCACTAACTTGACCACCACAGCTTCTTTTAAAAGCTTTTATGATACAGGAGAGACACTCAAAAATAGTTTTAAACATCTTCAGACCTCTGCACACCGAAATTATCTACTTTTTGCAAGTGACGATTGAGTTCTAGATAACCACCCTGGTTCTCTAGTAGGTGACTCATTGTATAAAGACATAGGTTCTCTTGTAATCATATCTCTGTTTTTCCAGCCTGTTTACTCTCTAGAGGCAAAAGGGACATTATTTCACACACACAGATTGTGTGTGTCCCCTCCCCACTCAAGGAAAGGGACACTGTTCCCAGCAGCATGTGCAGGGAAGTTCCCTGCGCTGCCTTAGCGGCCGGAAGGCTCTCAGGAATGGGGCTGAACCAAGGCAGAGCCGTGTGGATACACGGCTGCCCCTGCCATTTCAAACATTTGCTCTGGTAGGGCCAAGGTAAGCACTTGATGAGGACCTGCCCTCCCTGATTAATGACACATCGCAGTGTTGAACGCTGCTCTTGTGGAAGTTACGGGAAAACCACAGAGGTCACGGAGGCAGCAGCTTCAGTGACTGCGTTTTGGGCCAGAACTGCACCTCACTTCTCCAGGGACAGCTTGTGATCTCTTCCTTACAGCCAGCTCAGCTAGTCAGACACAAAACCAACTACTCATCAAACCAAAGCTAAGTTACTAATCTCTAAATTACACGGAAGGAAAAGCAACATTTGATCAATGTGTTCAATTCAATTCCAGCCCCATCTCCATGGGAAAAAAAAATTAAGTGAGCCTCTGAAGGATGTTGCTTTTAGATCTATATTTTTATTGTATCTAAACATTGTGGATCAAACTGCTCAGTCTGTGAGGTTGTTCTGACAGCAAATTCAGGCTGGTAACAGAGCTGTGGTTTTTGCTCCCCAGTGGCTTCAGCAGAGGTTCTGAATGTCCCGTTAAGGTCACTCTGTTAATTGTTTAGTCTACATCAGCATTGTACAAACACCACAGATGAGAACAGAGTCCAACTATGGAAGTGTTACTAAAATATTTCTGCTTCCCTTAGTAATTATGGAAGCACTACAAACAGGACTGAACCAAAAGAATACCGAAAACAAAATCATGCTTCTCCACAAAATGAAATCACTGGAGAGGACACTTTTGCACAGTCAGTTCAGAGAATAAGACTACACAAGCAAGACTGACTACTTGAAGATTTTTTAATTAAAAGGCCAGGAACAAGAAAATAATCTTTCTCCATTTGGCTCTAAAAGGAAACACAGAAATAGCTTTATCTACCATAACGTGCCACAAATTCAAGTAATGTCCTAACCTGACCTGTAGGATGGCATAATTCATTGCTTTACTATGTATTTTATTAAAATATTCTGTATGTAACTTTGTGAAGCCCTTAATACTTGCACATAACCCAAATAAAAAACTTTGCTGAGTAAGAGCAGACAGTGTCCTGTGATTCTGCAGATCCCAAGCTCCCACTCAAGTGAAAGGCTGTTTCTAGGTCAGGATCATTCAGAAGACACAGAAGTGAAAAAATAACACCAAAGGCAGGGCATTGCTTGGTGCATGGACCCACAGTGACATGCATCCAAGGAGCTGTAATTAGGGACAAGTGTCCCTTTGCCTGGCTCATGTGTGCAGAGGGAACAGCTCTGTTTTGCTCAATCTGGAGCAAACACAACCACCCTGCTCACTCACCCTCCTCTGAACTGCCCTGCACAGATCTGTCCCCATGTCTCCTGGCTGAACAAGAACATGCAGGGAGCTCTGCAAAATCATTCTCTATGTATTTAGACCTAAGTGACCCTGATCACAAAACCCCCAACCTCTCACATTAATCCCATGCCCACATCCTGCCTTCCAATATATACCTGCAAACGTAAGCTATTTTTATTTTTACATGGTTTGAGTGTTTTTCCAGCAGTGGATTTTGTTTCCCCACAATGAGAAAAGCCCCAATAGACTGGCACAACAGCAATCCTGAGATTTCAGCTGATGTTCAGTGTTGCCTGACTAATGATTACACTTCACCTCCCCTGACTCCCAGCCTTCCCAGGAAAATGTGCAGTGACAACTGTTTAAGTGCCTCTGTCTCAGTAACTGTATCTCCACTTCAAAAACAAAAGACTCTTCCTCGTCTTGCAAGCATTCTTTGAAAAACAGTTTTCATTTTGCTTCCCAAAATGGGTGGGAAATTGAACAAAAAAAACCCCAAGCCCTTCAAATAAAAAAGTAAAAAAGGAAGGGTTTGTGTGTTTGGCTTTTTTTTTCTCCCCTTTAAAAGAAGTATCAGTGCCCAGAGAAGCTGTGGATGCTCCATTCCTGGAAGTGTTCAAGGCCAGGTTGGATGGGGCTTTGAATAACCTGGGAGAGTGGAAGGTGTCCCTGCCCATGGCAGGGGGTTGGAATGAAATGGTCTTTAAGGTCTCTTTCAACACAACACATTCTAAGATGCTCTGATTACTTTGTTCCATACTAGAGCTAAAAATATTGCCCTGATCTGTTCTTACCTGAGATACAGCAAGTATCTAAGCACTTCAGACAGGTAAATAAATTTCAGAAGGCTTCAGAGCAGTTTTAAACTATTTGATTGGCTATATGTTTATAGAAGCCAAAACCTGCCTTTTCCCCCATTTTCTGCAGTATTACCATACATCCTTTGTTAATGAGATCCTATATATTGTAAGCTTGGATAGCAAGAAGCACATACACCCATACAGACCTTCCCACATCCCAGGGATGAAACACCCTTTAAGGGCTGGGATTAACAAACTGCCATTGTAGCAGAATTTTGGACATGAAACAGGATGTTAATTTTAAACACTGCATCAGGCCATACTATAATAAGCAAATAATTCAAAAGAAGCCTTATAGATAGAACTGAATTTTTTTAAGTCTGAATTTTTTGTTGCTAACTTGAAGAAGGAAAACAAAGCTATGTTATTTTCCCCCAAATATCTGCCTAAATGAAGCCATTTTACATTTCCAAACAAAGCTCCTGCAAACTTGCTTTTCAACCCTGCCCCATACAATAAGTCACTTTCATGGACAAGAAGTACCAAAATATTAAGAGAAAGCTCATTTTGTTTCAGATGCATTCCCATGAACTACTTAAGCTCAGCAAAAGAGAAGTTACAGTAGACAGAACTTGCAGTCCCACGACCCTGCTTCTTGCATTGCTAAAATTTTTTTTAGAACACATCACTTTCAACCCAATGGGAGCTCCAATATGGATTGTTCTAATTTATTACATTTCTGGCAGTTCTGTAAACAGATCTGTTCCAAATGTATTCCTTGGCAAGACCTAGGTCATTCAAAAGGGGAAAAAAAGTATCTTGGTTATAAATACTTTTATAGCATGTCAACCTCTTCATACTTTAATAGTAAAAAAGCTATTAACTAGCAAGTTTCAATACTTAGAAATATCCTTCCATTTTCCTATCTTTAAATGGATTTACATAAGCACATAAGAGAAGTTTAAAATGCATTTTAATGTATTTAACTGAATGGTAAGCTTTAGAGAAAACCAAATTGTCACAAACATGGCAGTAATTTGGCATTAATAATTTATGCTGCTGATCTAAACACGTATTGAATTAGGTACTTCTGTGGCCATTTATGCACACCTGCTCAAAAAGAATAACTTATCCAGCAGAGTAAAGGGCACCTGGAGACTCAGGCAGCACACTTAGCTTTTAGTGCATTTGCAGTATATTGTGCATTACAAATTTCTCTGCCTCTTCTGCAGGTGCTACGAGACACTAAGGCTGAAATCTGCTGCTCTCACTGGTCCGTGTCACTGCACAGAAGTTTATTTAATTAGATCTACAGGTAATAGTCCATTTAAAACAATTTAGTCTTCCCTCTTTAATTACAAGGCAATTAAACTCCAAGTTCACACACAACTTTTTACAAGGAAATATGAAATTCCCTAGTACAATGCCTTCAAAGTGGTAATGAAAAGAAAGGACACAGTAATTAAAAGCTCCCTACATTTTCCCAAGCATTCTAAAGAATTTTTCTTTCCAAACCTCAAACCTAAACAAGAAATAAACTTTTTCAAAGCTTCAATATTAGAAAAGTAAATTTTACAACCACATAAATATATACTTTATTTTTTACAGTAAGAATCCAACTCCCATAAAGACTTCAAAGAAAGATGAAATCACCCAAGTAAATCCCAACCTATAATGAAAAATTAGAGGACAACTCAGATTTTTTATTTTGGAAGCAATCTCTCCTGAAGCAGTCTCATGCAATCTATTTTCTAGAATGGCAGAAAGGTTCAGCTCCAAATCTGGCAACTGATTTAGCCTGGGGATTCAGCAATAGAACTAACTTAGTAGCTCTAATCACCAGACAGTGAGGTTTCTGAGAGAAGCTGCACTGTGATTTTTTACTGTATTTCTCTAAGATTTTCACTTTTTTGCTTAGTTTTAAATTTTCTGGAAGGCTGTAAGGAAAACAACTCTTCACATCTATTCGGACCAGTAAACAGTAGAAACATGAGAAACATGTTCCTGAGATTTCCAATCAAGAACAAATTTGGATAAACACCAACTCCTAAAAGTTCCTGTCTGTCTGGAACTGAATGACAAATTAAAAAAAAGGATGAGTGAAAAATGTATGACATTGTCAATTCCTGCCTATGGACAAGTGGGTGAATGGAACTTAAAAGTTGCCCCTGAGGCTAAATGGAACCCTTTCACCTCCACTTTCGGTTTTTTAATGAATTTTCCAGTACCTTTCTGGTATTTGTCATTAACTTCATGAGAACTATGGCTCCCTGAGATGTGACCCTGCACAGGTTGTGCTGCACTGGTGCACTCATGCCTCATGCATGAGAAGGAATTCTTTGGAAGAATGTCAGTGTTTAACTGAGGGGTATTATCCAGCCACATGCCACAGATACTTGATTTATGTGTCTAGCAAAAAAAGAAGAAATTAGATAAATGCCTATTAAAAAGAAGCCTTTTAAAACCATTCGTACATATGTACTTTTGCCTACTTACCTTTATGCTGTTAATGAGAAATTACTTGCTGTTCACTTCAACTTATCTATGTAAAATTGCCTGATTTTAAAATGCCTCAAGTTCTCCAACTAATGTGAGGGATTTTCAAAACAGGAAATTAGTTTTGTAAGCACGACTCCTATGCTTTCAAAATTTAGTCTCATTTTAGAAAAAGCATTAGAATTAGCTCATTAGCTAAAATGAAAAAAAAACCAAAACATTTTATGCTCTGTGCCACTTTCATGTTGGAAAGGCTGCGTTGATGTAGCTGCTTGAGTGCCCACACTTGGAGCCAAATGATAAACGATGATGTGGGAGACAACGTGGATAACTATGGGTGCATAGTTGTTAAATTTAATTGTTAAATTTAGGGGAATTGTTAAATTTAGGGGAAACGCCATTAGGGAAAGCAAGCAGGCAGCATGTGGAGACAGAATTGTTAAATTTAGGGGAAACGCCATTAGGAAAGCAAGCAGGCAGCATGTGGCAGCTGGTGACAGCATATGAAGAGAAGGCAGTTATCTGTCCGTCTCCTTTTTTAACTCATTTGGCATTTGCTCACTGTGGAGGGTGACCGCAGACTCAGCCAGGCATCATCTCACATGTGGTTCATATTTTTGAGGTTGTCTCTGTAGCCACAAGAGGCAAAACTTTTTTTTTTTTTTTTTTTTTTAAATTAATGAAAGCTGAGAATCTGAGCCAGGGGGAAAAAATCCGTAGCACATTGTGCTACTACAGAATCTGGGAATACAGAAGGGCCCAGAGCACAAGCTGCAGCAGATGCAGGCACAGCTATTCAGTTTTCATAAATAAGTTGCCACCAGAAGTGAAAGAACAAAGAGGACCAGAACAAACACCCCTCCTCCTTTTCTCATTCTTAAAGAGTTCTAGGGATGATTATTCATCACTGGCAGTGTCAGGATGACAGTGGGTGAGAAAGACTGGACTCTCTCTTCCATGTCATCACTATTTTCGGCTCAGGAGATGCTTGCACAACTCCAATCTGTACTGCACACCCAAAAAAGAGCATCATCAGGACAAGGCCACTGCAGAAAGCCTGCTTCCAATCATTGGGAACACTCTGCTGACATGAGAGCTAAACCTATTTGTCAGACAGATTCAGAAGAGTTTTTCAGTGAATGAAAATTTTAAGTGAAAACAGATACAAATTCACTGCAAACAAATTAATACTGGTCAATGCATATTTCATACCATACTCCAAAACTTTTTTAACAGAAAAAACTACAAATAGGGCACATTTTCCTAATCAGTTCTGAAAGGATGCCAATCTCTCTCACCAAGTTACAGTGCAAGTGATTTTTATTTGGTCCAAATACTTATTGTTGATCTCCACTTCTGCCTGCCCACCAACTAAACATAAATAGCTTTAAAAACTGGCTCAACTAAAAGTAAACATTCAAACACCACAAAGGAGGAGAAGAGTTTGCCCCAGTAGAAGAGTTAATGTCAATCAATACTTTGCAGGCCACAACCCAAAAATTTGCAGTTTTACAACACCAAGTTGCATAGTTTCTGAAGTTAACAGAAGCTTCAGCCATGCTCCCATATTCTCACTACACCTCCAGCAAACCTGAATATTGGCTGGTAACAGGAAAATCCTCTAACAGTGAATTAAATGGGCAGCCATCACATTGGCTGTAATGTCACATTTTCCTTTCATAGTGGCTAAACCACAGCTGAATCCAAATAGACCCTAAAGTTTCATCTCAATTTGTATCCAATTCTTTCTTTGCTGTACCTTTCCCACAATGAAGATGGGATTATAGTATCACACACCAATTTCCTTTATGCTATTCATCAAGTCATACTCTGTGGAAATGAAAAATTAACTCACTGGAATTAAAATTTATTTTAAAGGCATATCCATTAGTTCTGCTGATTTTTCCTGTCAGGAATTCCATCTGGAAATATACTTAAAAGACAACAGCAATTTTTAGGGCTAGTGTGAAACACTGTATGATTCAATGGAAAGGAAATAGGACTGTTGTAAGAAAGTCTTGTCTGTTTTTTTGGCAATAACAACATATCTAATCAGCCAAAGTCTGACAAAACTATTCCCATATGAATGCCTGAAGGAGCCCTGTGAAGCCACCCCAAAGTTTCTTTTAGTTGTCACATACTCCCAAATACCAGTCTTCATGTCTGCCTCTGATTAATACAGTACTTCATTCCAAAGTACAATTATCCCATTAACCTTCTGCCACTCTGGAAACGAGCAAGTCTATGGGTCTAAGTTCTATAATCACATTTTTTGTCCTAATTGCGTCCTCAATACACACAGGCTTTATACATAGGCCTGGAATCCAGTCCAGATATTGCCTTTTATTAAATTTCAGACAACTTCCAGTAACAATGTCATTACAGTGAAGAAATGTTCTCATGACACAGTAAAGCCTGGATGAAGAAGCTGTAAAAAGTTTTTTTACCGTGCAACCTTTGCCAAAAGCACAGTCCAAGAATTCACATCTACATTGTTCCTCTCTCCAATTTCACCTTCAGAGATTATTATCCACTTTCTGCAAACATGGGGAGAGATTTTAACGGCAGATGAAAGAAAAACTTTCTGAGGTGGTAAGGAATGGGTGTATGCAGCTGAAATACTTCTGCACTTACACATCACCTATGCTGTTTGGAGCTTCCTAAAATGAGCAAAGCAAGAGAAAAATTCAAGACACTGTAGAGAACATGGATGCTTTGCAAAGATAAAATTCAACTCTAAAATGCTTGGCTGATATAAGCTTTCCATAGTCCTTGGGAAACAAGGATGTGTGTTTTTTAGAATTACTATTTTTGCTGTTGTCATTTTTTAGAACTAAGCATGCAGCAGTGCTTCCCACCATCCCCAGGGCCTGGTAAACACAACATCCTAGGTACAGGTCCTGCGCTCTGTGCTCACCTGTAAACATTTTTGTAACAGCTTTACTCTGCTTGCGGGCAGAACACAGGAGGAGCAGCCAGGGAGGGAAGAACTCGAAGTGGCTGGCTAAAATCTCTGCTATCGTCCCAGACAAACTCGTGGAAGTCTGTTCACCCTCAGAAACGTTACAGCCCTCGTCCACCGAGTCCACCAGCATGAAGAGGCTCTGCTGAGGGGGCTTCATTCCCAAGAGAGGCAGCAGAATGCACCTGGAAGGAACACAGCACAAAATCGGTGTTTTAAATGCATTTAACGATACATTGACTGTCACAGACATCCAGGACTAAGCTATGCTCAACTTAAAATGCAAAGTTACTTTTTAAAATAGTTACCATGGAAAATATTGAGGTGGACTAAACTAGAATACTTTGAACAGGCAGTGATGGAGGTCTTGCTTGGGCACCATTACTTTTTCATGAACTTCTAATTTATAACAATACTTTAAAATTATGAAATAGTGTTCAAGGCTAATTAGAAGACTTGGGGGGAAAAAACATTGCTTCACTAAGAAGCTACTTGGTCTAAAGCTTAAGAACTTCATTTCTGTTGTCTCTGCCAAAGCTGCTGCTACTGCTTATCAGAAACTAATAGTGAACAATAGCTGGTCATGAAACAAAAATCTGAAAGACACATGAAATATCAAAGCTCAAAGAGTTCAAGTCAGAATGAATAACACTATTACAAAGAACCGAATTTCTGCCATACCTTCACAAATAAAATGCAAATTAGTAGCAGACTGAGGCGTTTGGTAGTGACTTTGATGTATTAGCTTTTATTTATATTGAAGCTGCCAAGCTCCTGTACTGGGAAAGGATTATCTGCATCCCTGGGATGCAGCTCTAACAACACATCTGATTGTGTGGCTAAAAATTTCAAATTTGCATCTACTGTTGCTCTCTTTAGCAGGTGGTTCTTAAAAATATACCTAACTGCATTTACATGTATCTTTAAATAGCACTACATAACCATCATGCATCTATTCAGTATTTCCACACTACACTACTATTTTTTGGGAAACTTCATATGATTTAGGCCTGTAAGTTTCACTGACTAAATTATCTTTAAATACACTTGGCAAGTAAACTTTGACTTTATAGTACAAGGATTTGGAAAATGAAACGAGGTGAGAAAAATACATATCTGACAGTTTACTCTCTTGTAAATTTGCCGTTTGCACATGTCCAGAAGGCATACCCATCATAAGTAGTTTTTGTTTTACTCAAGACCATAATAACCTTTTTTTCATTTATTTTACTGAACAAATTTACCTTCAGAAGACTTTGGTCAACACGTTATCACCTACCAAGCATTCAAATGGGAATATAACAAAATCCTGCCTGCTAATGCAAGAATTTAACCCACTTCAGAAATTATTCATAAGCCTTGTTAAGGAAAGGTTTGCTATTTTCTGGTTTTCTGACTGAGAAAAAAGCAAAATGGAAACAGTGGTGCACTTCTCACATGTGACAATAACAGCAGAATCTAGCAGAACAGACTAGGGGGGAAATTTCCCCAGAGGTATAAAAAGGAAGTACAGACTACTTGTGATCTGAAAATATTCAGTATTACATGGATTTTAAAACATGGCCTTCCCCCCTTTTTTTCAGAAGCACAAGACTTCTGGAACTCTGGTAGTTCCCCAGCTAAATACTCCTTCAGAGGATGCCTGATGTACAACTGCAATCACTGCCCACTAAGCTGGGAAGTTAAGCAGCTACCAATTTACAGAACAGGAAATTAAAGTAGCCATGAGGTTAAAATTACTTTCCCAAGTGATGCCAATCCCACAATGAAAGGAGGCAGTTGGAAACCACCACATTTTCCAACCCTTCCCCCACCAAAATTCTGCCTTGCCCCCTCAGCTATTTGTGTCAAGGCATTTTTCCTGCAACATTTCTTGCCCTATCAAAACTAATTTTCTTCTCGTATAGTTCTCTGTATGAAATTACTTTTTGAGAATGAATGTTACTATGAGATATGAAGAAATGGTAATGGTTATCTTAAATTAAAAATCTCACTGAAAATCCACATCACCCTAACAAAATGCCTATGAAATACCTTAGGAGCATCCAGAAACATTCTTGTGTCAGTTTTTACTTTAGGAGCATCCAGAAATATTCTTGTGTCAGTTTTTACCTTTTGGGAACACCACCAAGAAAAGCAAACAGTCTTGTATGGGAAAGATTCCCAAATCACTCTGCCTCCAATCAGGGTTGGAAGCAGATGTCTAAGGAATAATGTAAGCACTGGGCAAGCACTAGAAGACCAAATTTTACCATTTTTCTTAGCAACCACGGCTTCCAGGGACTTTCTGAGGTTCAGCCTTTGCGTGTAACGTCCCTTCACTGACCACACTTCCACAGGTCTGTCCAAGTCTTGCAGGAACTGGTTTAAGGCTCTGGCATTCACAACAGCAAGGCTGTCTGCAGCTTAGCTGCACACTGCATGAAATAACCCTTCCTTTTGTGGTTTAAAAACCAAAATGTCCTTGTTCCATTTGATATCCTTCAACTTCTGACTGAAAGAGGCAGTGAGCAGTAATGTCATATTCCCACTATCTGTGCCATTTGTACCACAGCCTCTCTGAGCTATTTTTTCTCAGGCAGACGAGTCCTAGCATATTGAAGCTGCTCCACAAAATGCTATTCCACAGCCCCTTGTCTCCCTGTGCTCTGCTTCTTTCCACTTCACAAAATTTGTATTTCTGAATCTTAACATAATTTAAATTCCACTAGGAAAAATATATGCACATAAGAAATGAGGCACAATGACTTCTTCCAGCTTAGAGCAACATTAATAAAAGTGTGGCATTAACAAGATATTGATCAGGCTTTCTCTTTAAGTGCCCTTTGAAACTGTTTGATAAAATTCTGTTCTTCCGAGACACTTTACATCACGAGTTCAGAGTGGATGCCACGGAACATAACAATGAAACTTTCGGGAAGTGCTGTGCTGATGTGCCAGAAGTCCCATTATGTGACAGCCAGGGGATCAGCCCCAGACAGCAAGGGGTTGGGAAAGGCAAGTCCTGCCTGACCAACCTGATCTCCTTCTAGGACACAGTGACCTGCTCAGGGGATGAGGGGAGGCTGTGGATGTTGTTTATCCAGACTTTAGTAAAGCCTCTGCCAGCGTCAGCCTCATCATCCTCCTGGACAAACTGGCTGGATTGTGGAGTCCTAAAGAGAGATGGGGAAGGGAGTTAAGCCCAGCTGGGGGCAAGTCACAAGTGGTATTGCCTGGGCTCAGTTTTGCGGCCGGTTCTGTTTGGTATCCTTATCCCTGACCTAGACAGGGGCACCGAGTGAACCCTCCCTACGTCAGCCTCTTCTCCCAAGACATGGTTTAGTGGTGGACTGGGCAGTACTGGGTCAATGATCTCAAAGGTCTTTTCTACACCATCCTATGAGTCTGTGTTTGCCTCCGTAACATGACTTAGTAATTCCACTCCCCTTCCATTTCTTGATTACACAGAAAAATAACATAAATCAACACGGAATTAACAAGGTCTTTAAAGCACTTCCCTCAAGGGTGATTCATCTACAGATTGTTGTAACAGATTGCTTAATTGCAGAGCGCCTCTCAAAAGATTGGAAGTTGATTTTCTTTACCTTCTGAAAGGGTAACAGCTTTATCTTTACAACTTTTATATTTAATGTAGATATAAAAGAGGTGATCATTAAAAAAGCCCCAAGTTAACCTGGATATTTGTAAAAATACAAAATCTCCAGAGAAAACAGCACAATTACGTATTTTAAAAGATGGAATGCATTTCAATGGCAACCTAATGACTTACTTATGCAGAGCAAAGATGTTTTACATGCTCTGCAGCAAACAAGAATTCCTCAGAACAATGAGCCATCCCATAGAATTCTTCAGGATTGCTACTGAGCTGACTGAACCCATGCAAACATGATTTTCCACACATGGAAGGAATATATACAAGCTATGCTGAACTTCTGCTTCTAGCAGGCCTTGAGATTTTGATTGGATCCACAAAAACACAAAGACACAACAGAACAGAGCGGAAAGACAGCGGCACTGTCCACAAAAGCTGAAAAGAGTCACAGTGGAGTGCACATGCTTATTTTAAAAAGAAAAAAAAAAAAAAAAAAAAGCAAAAACATTGCCAAGTAGCAACTAATGAGTGGCTCTAGGGGTAAAAGAAATCATAACGTGTTCCTTGTATTTGACTGTCTCTGGTGTGTAAAAATTCAGCTATGTCCCACTTAAATTGGGAGTGTAGCATCCTAGAAGGGCTCCTGTTTCCCTACCCTGCTGCCAGCATTCTCTACTGACAAATACACAGAACAAGTGTATAAAAATCATCTCCTAAGCAGGCCAGAAGCCACAGGGCCAAAAAAAAAAAAAAACCAAAAAACAAAAAAAACCCAAAAAAACCCAAAACAACAAAAACCAAAAAACCCAAAGAAAAACACAACCACTACCCCTGATTTGTCAGACTCCAAGTGCTGCTACTTTTAGCAAAGCATGACAGGCTTCAAATTTTATGACAGAAATGACATACTTGGAAATCTGCTGTACTAGTACTACTGAGCTCTTACCTTTCCTTTTCTAAACAGTGTAACAACGCTTTAACAAACTGCTTCTTGGGACACCTCCCAAGAGATTATATCTCAGCATTTCCAACTCGTATTTCTGAGAAGCACCATCCCAGAGATCTGCATCAGGAATTTACAAACTCTGTTCTTTCCAAAGAAAATTCGAAAAGAAGCGTAACATCGTTATTCCACACACAGCCTCCTCCTGCTTTTTCCCACGTTTCTACACCAGATTCCTTGAGGAAATTCACCAGCTACTTGTCATACACCTAAACTTTGCATATTGATCAGGAATATGCCTCTATATATATTGGATTGATGTATTTGTGATTATGTATTTATATATAAAGAGTTTAACAATAACTGGTGTGTAACAAAGTAATTCTCCAAGCACTCATCTCAATCTTCAGAAAAGCAAACAAGCATCTTTCTTCTTGTAAGTGGTTTACAACATGATACATCACAGCCCTTTACAATGTGATTTTTAAGACACTTACTTCCATTTATGTTGTATTGGCAAATATGGAAAATGAAGTGCACAGTGAGACTGCAAATAAGCCAACTATATTTACATAGTATTGCAGCAATTTTTGCCAGCAACATAAGAAGCAGCGGGATTTTTGCCTAAAAATCACACGCTGAGACCT